GAATAAGAACTTTCCATATGAATTTCTAATATATTTTGTCATTAACCATGTATTTCCTAATGTTATCTACTGAAAAGAGAAACGATGACCAACAAGGTAACAATGACAGTCTTAATGACCCAAATCAAAACTCCTTGATGAATAACTAATTCAAAATTGGGAACAGGAAATACACAAGATGAGGCTAGTATATCTATTTATACCGGAAATCACAGAATAGAGTAGAAAGCTTTGGATTCGTGTCAGAAAGACTCAAGTCCTAAATTATACAGCCTTTCTCTGTAGATTAGGAGAGAGAAAACCTACAATGAATTGAAAATCATCAAATATATTCATTTCATATTGGATTCATAATGATAAAAAATTAATAGCTGGTCACTATTGCAGAAGGAAACAACTTATTTCAAAAGTTCATAAAATGGACAAAAATCAAGCATATTGTCTGTTTTTCCTTTGTACACTATATGTACCACTAAATAAACAGTGGATGAGTGGAAGATAGTCTTTCATATATGAAATTATGAAGACTGATGAAAATAGAAAGCCACTATTCATCCTCTAATAAGTAAGTGAACCTAGACATTGAACATTAATAAATACCAATCTAAGAAAAGAAAATCCAACACAGTGTACTTCTACCTGCTAGGACACAACACTATGTATACAGCAGAGTCTTAATCATGCATTATGCTTATAGAGCAATTAGAAATTTGAAAATTGAGTAGTATTTCATAGAGCAAGGAAAATTGTACATTAGAATGATAATGACATCATGGCAAGGCTTAAGGAATGGTAACTGTGCCTCTATGTATTTGTATGAATATAAATAGTATATTCAACTATGAATGAGCTGTTATGATTTTTTCACTGTAAAATAATACAGGAGAGGAGAAGATGCGGACACACAGATGAAACAAGAATAGATATAAGTAAAAAATTTTGAAACTGAGTACATGGGAATTCATTAATCTATTTTGTCTGCTTTTTCATAAGTTTTAAATACTCTATAATAAAAAGTTCTTTTTAAAAAGAAGAATATTTAAGAACAAAATTTTCAGCACCTACAAGACAACATTATATTGAGGAATGAAAGAAATTTGCATGAACAGAAGTTTAAGTCTTATTCTGAATAAAAATACAGGGTATGTAAGGATGTAAATTAACTTTCAACATGAAAAGTTAAAAATTTCAATCTAAACAACAACAAACCAAGCACAAACAAATCACAAGCAAGTTCACTTCCCAAAGGACATGTGAAACTGTCAAGAAAAAGTGAGAAATGAATGCAATAATTGTGACTTGTCCAATGACTCATCAAGAAATAATTGGTTGCTATGGTAATTTTAAAAATTCAACAATTTGGCAATGTAAATGATATCACAGGGATAGAGAAGTACATCAATAGAACAAACCAGAGAATACGAAAACAGACCCATACACATAATTTGGTAAGGAAAAGACACAAAAGGCATTCAGGGAACAGTGCTGACATGATTGACTATTCATTTAGTACAAGGTAAATTATGATTAATTCAATACCTAAAAGGACATGCAAAAATTGAAAATTACCAAAACTTTAAAACATAGATAGATAGACGATAGATAGATAGATAGATAGATAGATAGATAGATAGATAGATAGATAGATGACAGGGTTTTTGGTCTCTCTTCCTCTTACCTAGACAATGCTTGCCATAAACACCTTGACAGCATAAGGATGAAAGCCAGGTATCTTTCTTAGGTGGGGCTGCTGTAAGAGCACCACTTCCAAATACCATTGCCTTGATGATGAGGGCTTCAACATGTGAACCGTGAAGTGGACACATTCAGCCCACAGCACCTCGTGTTGAGGTACACAAAAACTCGGAATTTTGATATTTATAACCTCAGAAAGCTGCCACACTGGCCCCAGGATGCTTGCCCTCGGATTTTCTATTACGTAAGAAAATCTATCTATGTGAATCTCTATATTATATGGCCAAAATGTTAAAGGTCAAATAGCACTCGTAGCCATTATAACAACTATGAAAGAAGATTCCTTTGGATATTCCTATTCTTTGTGAAATACATTTTCCAATAGAAACAGAGGAATTTAAGTATGTATAGTTTTTTTAAATGCCAATGCACTAAGCTAGAGTCTGAGGTTGTAAACATTTTAAAAATCAATTATGATTTCTCCATGATCAGTCAGATCTTACCTGGTAGCTGTCAGGAATGTGTCCAGAGACTACATCTGCTGTGCACAGCCTTTGTTCTCACCCATCCCCAAGAAATCACACAGAATAAAGGGCAGGAGGTTGCCTCCCCTCCCCTTCCTAGTGGGATAAGTCCCATAATGCTAAGGGGAGAAAGGCAACTTTAAAAGCATACAGTGAACCCTTGACTTACGAACTCAATTTGTTCCCAAGGGCTAGTTGTAACTCAGATTGGTCAGTTGAAGGCTCAGTCTCCTCTACACAGCCTTCAAGATCTGTCTCCTGTATACAGGCAGATCTCAAGGTCCTTAGAGAGACACTGGCCCAGGATTTCTCAATGAAGCCTACACAGGAAAGGATTTGAAAAAGAAGGATCAGGTCTAGAGAGCCACAGATTATCCCAGTATTCTTTCTTCCTTCTCTGAGGTTTTTCATTGCCATTATCTTTGAAATTATTAACACAGTTTGATATGGAGCAAGACATCGGATTTGTAGAAGTCATATTTTTCAATCCAATTCTTAATTTTAGTTCAGTTTTACAAATGTAATATTGAATAAAGAAGCCAGACACAGCAGAGTGCACCATTCAGTATGGTTCTACATATCTAACATTCAAACATAAGAAATGTGAATAATGTTGATGTGATGCCATAATGGTTACCTTTGCTTGGTAATAACTAGAAATAGCCATAAAGGAGTCTTTTGAAATAATGATAATCTAATTCTTCATCTGAGCAGTGACTATAGGAAAATGCCCCATTGGTAAAAGTGTGCCAATTTTACAATCATCTATTAAGCACTTCTCTATTTATGTCTTATTTCAATAAAAAGTTTATTTAAAGATTCCAAGATGCCCAACATCATGACATATTCAATTCAACTTACCAGATTTCAACCCAAAAAATTTGTTTTTAAATGTTTGGACCAGTGAGGAAAAAATGATCAAATCAGACAAAGGGAAACAAAGAAATGAAAAGTAATAATAAATAAATGTGGCCTTAGGTTTTCTGCTGCAATATCAACACAGGGTAGAATCACAGTACTCCTCAAAATAAAATATGATATAAGAATTATTTACATTGATAACCATTCAAGTATGTATAATGAGCCCAGGCAATTAATTTGGTACATGCAAATTCTCAGGAAACATTATTCCCAGCAGCTCTTCTAAGTGGGTAGCACTAAATATTTCATTAAAAAACACAAGTGACAAATGTGCATAGACTTCTTAGTGATCAGGAATAAACAAAACCAAAAATGAGAAACTATCCTGTAATCATCAAAACAGCAAATATTCTAAAGTTTGACATTGTCAAAGATTGTCAAGGATAGAGGCAAATAGGCATTTTTATAATACCAGTAGAGATGGTATAGACAATTGAGCTTTCTGGAAAGCTTCTATTCAAATGCAAATGTACACAATTTTAAGCTGCAATTTCACTTCCGGTAAATCATCATTAAGTATTTCTGTGCACAACCTTATATGCATAAAAGATATACAGGAGCTTTGTTTACAACAACAATTTCAATGTCCTTTAGTAGGGAAATAAGTGAATTAATTACAGTCTTTTGATATAGTGGAAAGCATCATTACACCTTTAAAAAGAAGGAATCCTGTCATTTGTAACAATGTGTGTGAAAATGAAGGATATTATCATGAGTGAAGTAAGCTGAGGACCATAAGACAGATACTCATGATCTTACTTCTGTGAACAATCTAAAATAGTCAAACTCATAAAAGGAGATGTTTAAAATGGTGGCTGCCACGGACTATAGTGAAAGAGAGAGGGAGAGGGAGGTTGCCCTAAAGTTACAGTTTAATTATGCACGATAATTTCTTACAGATCTACTGAAAAGCATAATGCTTATAGTTTACCTTGTGATACCCTTAAAATTTTGCCAAGAGCAAATAGCTCTTATGTTAAATGGTTGTGACTTACAGACAATTTGAGGTCAGGTTTCAATGTGGGCCATCTATCCAGAGATAAGGTGAAGAAAAAAGTCACTTTTCCTGAGAAGAGATGGTTTAGCTCAAAGCCAGCAAACATTCAGGGAAGCACTCTCTGTAGCATTATCTGATTCTGGGAAATCTACCTTCACAATGAAAAACTTCACACTCTTGAATGGAACCACTATAAACCCCAGAAATTTGAAGTTTTTCACATTTATTAGTGCTCACAGGCACATTTTTGTGGTGTAGATCTAGCATGAATTCAAGTAAAAACAGAAATCTTGTCTTAAAGTCCAAAAACAATTCAAATGGTAAGTGTAATCCTGTTTTACACGTGGAGATTTCAGTCTCTTGAAGTGCAAAGACCATGACGTACTCTGCCTTCTCTTGCTGGTAACTCTCTTACATGTAGATGCCAGTAACATGATTGTATTGTATACCACTGTTATAGTTGGTCCTTAGGTGTAGCATCTCTAAAACGTTTTCTTCAGAGAATCCATGGATACTGGCCTTATAGAGAAGACTAAAATGCTTTGCTCCAAAATAATTTTGCAGGCTCTTTTCTTGAAACCCTGTCAGTCAAGGCCTCCCTGCCATACTTCTCAATCTAATGGGAAATCCAACATATTTTCCATTAAGTACTGAGCAACAGATATGTACTTTTTAAAAAGCTCCCAAATCTTGCAATTATCGTTCTCCTTTACTCTGCATGAAACTGGAAATGAGTAAACATAGGTAGCAAGAAAATCCATAACCTAACTTCTCATTCAAAATGATTACTTCTTTTAATTTTTTTCTAAAAAGACTTTTGTCTACAAATAACTAAGAAAAGCAGAAAGCAACCAATCATTTACCTCTTGGAAGAATCCATTCAAGGATTGGAGCCATGGATAGCTGCTCTGTCTAGGTAGCTAAGCAGGCACAAAATGTGAGGGGAAAATTCTTCAGTATCTCAGCCTCTGAGACTCAGGAAACTGAAACTCAGGAAGTCCAGCCCAGTTGACAGTGTGCCAACTTCCTCCAACGAATGTGCATAAGCTGATCCAGCTAATAAAATCAGATAAAAGCAATACCAGGAAAATCAAGAAATTGCAATCAGAGAAAAGATACAACAGCTTACTGATCTAAGTTTTTTTTTTCTGAAAAACTCAACCATCTTCTGTATTTGGAGATGCAAAACAGTGCTGTCATTATACATCTCAAATTCATCCACTTCTTTTGATCTCTTTATCAGTTTATTTCAAGCTAACATGCTCATTTTTACTTGATCCTACTGCATTTCTGCTTCTGCCCTCTACAATTCCTCTTCCACACAGCAGATTTATGAGACCAAATTGTGTTCACTTCAGACTACAACTCCTTTTCTGACTTCACTTTGCTAAAGGTCATAAACTTGTGTCCTATACATAGGCTACAACCTACACATATGTTTTGTGAGGCCAATACAATTTCTTTTTTAAAATTTTTGAGTATGAATACTTTGTTGTTGGACATCCATGTTCCAGTTCTCTGTTGTCTACACAGATCCTCTCTTGCTTTATCCCTGATTGCTTCTAGCAAAATTTAACTTACTTGCCAGGCCCAGAAAGGAAACTGGAATGTGGATGTCCAGTAATATAAAGTATTCATACTTCAGGATATCTTTTATGCATAAGAGAAAGTGAAGAGAATTTATTACCAGACTGAGTATGGGGTGGTTGGACTAGAAAAGAAGATGAAGGAGAGAATTTAGTATTATTCTAATGACTTTTTGCTTGAGCACGGCATAAATAATGTCACCATCAGTTGAGAGAGAATATTAGGAAATTTCTTGAGGGAAACCCAAATATTCTGCCTTTCACTGAAATCTGTAAGTAAGATAGGTGGTTCATATATGAGATCCAAAACTAGGGAAAGATACTAAGTTTGAGAGTCATCAGGAAACATATACAATTAAAATGAAGAACAAATTTCAATAACAGCTGCTCCAGTTAAACTTTATTGTCAACTTGTCTGGATTACGAGGCTCCTGCAAAGGTTATTGGATTGTGAGAGCATTAATGGGTTAACCCATTAATGAGCCCATAGCTGAATGGCAATTAGGGGGTGGGGCTTAATTAGAATAAATGCTTTATGGGGACCATGACTTTGAGGACCTTATCTGGTCCCAGCCCCTTCCTCTCTCTGGCGCTCTTCCCCTGTGCTTTCCTTTCGAGCCTCCGTGAAACACTCTTCCACCATGATATTTCTGTTTTGGAGCCAGCAAAACCTAGACTGAAGCCTCTGAAACTGTGAGCCAAAATAAATCTCTACTTTAAAATGCAGGTGTCAGGTTTGTGTCCCAGCAAAAGGAAAGCTGACTAATACCAGAGCAGTTTTATGGACCAAGCTCTGCCCTTCCTCTCCATTTCAGAAGTCATAGTTATTACAAAGGTTTATCCAAGAAGACTCAGAAGATAGGTGTGCAACTTGAGAAGAGTGAGTGATCCTAGAGCCAAGCAAAGAACGAAGAACTGATCAACTGTATGGAACAATGAGGCTCTTTCAAAGTCCCCTGACCTACATTGTTTTCTGAAGACCTGTGAACTTGAGAGGGATGGTCTTGCCTAATTGAGAATAGAGAGAGTTTGGTAGTAGTCCTAGCTTCCTGCAGTTGAAATCCTGGAAAGTACTAGGGGTAGAGATTGTATCTGTGCTACAACAAAGAAATAAACACTGCAGAAAAACTTTCTCCACAAAGTTTATATTGTACAGTATGCAACTTGTTGCTAAGAAGCAAAACAAAAGTGGCTTCCTTTCTGAATCATAATGAATTTTCAAGACTGAGCAGTTTTATTTTGCTATATTTTTGTGTTCACTGGTAAGGGCCTTGTGGCATACTAGTAACCAGTTTAAGGGTATAGGTGGTTTGGTTTTTTCTCAGCATGACTCACTGCTTTATAGGCTTCTAGTGATGAGGAAGGGTTTAAGCTGATCCCAGCAGAGAACCATGAGAAGATCTCAGAAAGGCTGCAACAGGGATGCAGTAGTATCAAGCACAGAAAACCAGGTGACACATATAGGGCTTTGGAGATCAGCAGATGTTAAACACAATGTCATCACTGTGTGAACACCTTCAACAGTCAGATTCTACTGCTGACAGCCTCAATGGAATACGTGAGTCTCCATTTTGAAGACACTCTCAAAAACTCAAACCTAAGGGTCTAACACGGGCATGGGAAACATTTGTTCAATAACAAGTTTGGAAACAAATTTGAAAAGTCCCCAGTGACATCAATCAAACTGAAATAAAATCTAGCTCTTTAAATAAGGAATAAGACATGGGTATGGGAGGAGATATCATCTGTTCGTCTATGCTTAATTCATATTCTTTTGAGAAATGTTGTAGAATTGACATTTCTCAAGATATAGTTTCAAACCTGCCTCCAAATACTCCAATAATTTAGGTAACCCTTTCTCATGATTGTACAGCATATTCTCAAACATAAAATGATGTCATTTAAATAAATTAGCCCCTTCAAGAATTTGACACTCACAGCTCTCTTTTCCTTGAAACTCAAGAATACATAAATGTTCCATTTGAGTTCAGTTGAGTGCTACATTCCACATAAGGACTAATGTTTGGACTCTCCACTGGTCCCCTCAGTGTCCAGCAACTTTATTTTGAGTGTCCTAAGTCTAGATAAAGGATATATTTCAGCTGTTCATATAGCCTCTGTTAAATTTCAAGACAGGAGTAGATACTTCTGTTGTATAAGCTATACACGACAGTCAGGCCACTATTAATGGAAAATTCTGGCCACATCAACAAAACTGGCAAACATTCATCTACCAAGTTATTTGTGGGATTTCTCAAATGGGGATGAAGACTTCTAAATGTTGCCTGGCTTCCACAAAGCAGCCTAGCCTTGACCCTGTCATACACTCTTCAGAAGTCTCCCTGTGTTGACTGTGCTCTTCCTTCCCCTTGTTCTCTCCAGTTCTGCTCCTCTTTCCTCCTTCTACCACAGCTATATCCAATTTTTTCCCCTCTCTCTGCCCAGGATGGATGACTGTCATTCTGTCTCTCCAGAAATGGAAAGGGTAGATAGTTCCCTCTCTCTTACCATTTTAGTCCATGATTACTCTGTAAATTCTATGCCTCCAAAAGGTCTACGGAGGAAGTTTAGAAATGTGAACATTATTTCTGGTTCATTTTTTTCTTACTCCCTGGTTTAAACAATCTTAATTTTCAGGAGAACAATGTAAATGATTTGGGGAAATGAGAAAAGAACCATGTATACAGAAGGGCAGAAAAGAAGTATAAAAATTGCTATGTTAAAACATTGTCTAGCTACATGTGGTATCCATTTGAAACAATCTAAAGTCCTATGATGCAGATTAATTACCTTTCTTTCTCCTTGTCCTTTTCAGTCATGGAGATTTCACAATCCTCTCTATATAAATCTAACACTGATTATCTGTATGGCCTAACCCAATCTCCTCCAGGGTGGGTAAATACATCTACATTAATATAATTTTTTAAATTGCAGTAGTATGATTATATTGGAATTCAGAATGGAAAATGAATGAGCTCAGAAGCTTATGTGCATGTTTCCTTGCATTTTAAAAATCTCAGTCCAACAGAAATTGTCATGGAACATGCAAAAACTCAATTACTTAAAAATTGTAAACTATATCTGCACATCATTGTTTGGCACAACTTGTTAGTGGACCTCTCCAACTGCATGCCTGCTACTGCAATCTCCTTTTGCAGTTTTACTTACACAGCTTCTCTTGTCCTGGAGCCTGAAACAGACTGAGTTTTTGAAGTGAGATGGGAAAGGAAGTAGAGCAGAGGGTTGCATCCTACTTTTCTTCTCAGAGTCTCCATCTCCTTCACAGGGCTATTCCATGCTACTCAAGAAGCCCTGCCTTCTGCCCAGAAGATTTTCTAGCTTCATCACAGGGATGAGTGAGTTAAAACCCTATAGTTGGTGAAGATGATGGTGCATCTTTAACCACCTTCAATCTCTCCCAAAAAACAATGTCCATGGCTTGTTTTTTCTTTGGATTACATGAAGAAAATCACACCTTACATTTTGATCTGTTTTTTCTACATCCATATCCTAACTATTCTGGTTGTCACTCTAATTTTGCCCTCAATATCTACTCCTGGCTCTACTCATCAATTTTCGTGAGGATTCTCTTTCTATATCATTTTAACACCCATCGCTTCTACTCAATCAGGGCTCCTGGACATTCATGTGAGCACAACTTCTCCTCTAGCCTCACTTTAGGAAAATTCACTTTTCTAGGTATAACCCTAAGGAATTCTTGCTGTCCTAATTCTCCAGAAATTCTCAGAAGAGGATAATTTTGATTAAAAGTAACTTAGATTAATAGAAGATAGGTAACTGTTGAACCAAAACATATTTCCTTGAAAAACACTTAAAAATTTTCATTATGAAGAAATAATTGAAAACTATCTTGTGGGATTTTTTCATTATTAATAGTCTTAATTTTGACAACTACTGTTGTAGTTTATCTGGATGTCCCCCAAGCCTCATGCACTCATAGGTGGGGCTTTTGGAAGGTGACTGGATCATGAGTATGTGATACTCATCACTGGATTCGTCCACTGACAGGCTTATAGCTGGGTGTGATGTTGGGACCTAAAGTCTGGTAGGAAGAGATGGGTCACTTTGGGCACAGCCTGTAAGAGTATATCCCCCTCCTCCTCCTGTGATCTTGCTCTGCTTCCTGCCTGCCAGGACATGAGCTGTATATCCTCTGCCATGTCCCCTGCCATGCCACCCTACCTTGGAGCCAACTGACTTTGGACTAAACCTCTGTCAACTGTGAGCCAAAATAAACCTTTCTTTCTTTAAGTTGTGTGTATCAGGTAATTTTTCTCAGCAACAAGAAAAGTAACTAAGACAGCTACCAAGAGGACATCAGAATCATTTTCATTTTTCATGGTTTCCTATAGAATACA